TTTGTGGCCATCGACTCATCGATTCAAATGAATCCCATTCACTGAAGCCATTTGTCAGACTCTGCGCTAAACCAATATCCAAATCCAGACGTTTTAATGCCTGAAAATGTCGGATTGAGTCCATAATGTGGTCACTAATTGACGGATGGCTTGTCGTCAGATCTATTGACAACTTCTTGAGAGACACACACTTTATACCGATTTCTTTGAACGACTGATACAGTGAATACGAGAGAATATCTCGATTTCCATCATTTTCATAGATATCATATCTAAGACTCAATTCAATTAATTGCTTAAATCGAGTCAATTGTTTCATGAACTGAATGACAGTGTCTTTGGATTCAAGAATCGGAGGAATATTATAGACGATAAGATGTTTGAGCGACTGATTGGCGGCTATGAATGAGTCAAACATTGAGGCATTGGTTGTAAAATACCGGAACATTTTAAATGTCTGTAAATTTTTGACCACTAATTGGTTTTCAGAATCAAAGGCATGAGAAAAGTCTTGGACACAGAGATACAGTTCCCACAATTTGGACCAATTTTCTCTTAACTCATGGATGCCTTCAATAAAATACTTTTTCAGTTCAATTTGAGTGAAATCAATGCGTTCAATGTTTGGACACTTTCTCATCATAATTGCCATACGATTGGTGTCGATGTACTCTTGTGTCCCGAGGAAAACTTCTTTAGTCATTTTGTTCACCAGATTGTCATCAATAGTGATGTCTTTAACAGTATTGTAAACCAATCTCTGGAACTGTTGAGAGACTGATTGGTGACGGAATCGATCGGTGAATGTCTCGTAAGACAGCAATACTTCACACAAATCGTCACATATTCTGGTGTCGAAAGACTGTCTGTTGATAGAGTTGGACATCGTTTGGACTCTTCAATAGACTCTTATGAATATGTTGTAGAAATCTGTCTTTTTAGTGATAAAATATAATTTAAAAGAAAATTCCGTTAAAAATTTAAACAATTCAATTGATATCACGATATATTATTGTATTATTTATTATATTATTATCTTGTGTTCACAACACTCACTAACTTAATGCAATATTTGATTGACTTTCATAGAGTGGATGCCGAGAAAGTGATTGCAATGATGTACTGAATTAAGAGCACCGGTACTCACAAACACTAACTAATCATACATTTATTTATTTTAATTGTGTTTTTATTAATTTATTGAACTTTTCAGATATTAAACAAAAATTTATATGAATTCAATGAAACATCAAATAATTACACATTTAATTAAATTCAAAACAAAATAAATGTTTTTATATAGAAATGAAATATTCTTAAATTCTTTACTTTAAAACTTAATGTTATTTTTCATATTAATATATCGGAGTTTCGGACACTTCTCGTGCAATGCAATCATATCACTGAAATTGACATCAATTGTATGTCTGCTGTGGATGTTTAGTATCTGAAGGAGTGGTAGTCTTGAGAACACATCCAAACTATTCTGGGTTTCAGTCATAATATCGATTGTGATGTCCACGAACTGCAGCGCCGGTAGGATTGAGTCGATTTTGGTAATGAATTCTCTACTCATTGGATACAAGTCTAGTGTCAAATGAGTGATACTTTGTGGCCATCGACTCATCCATTCAAATGAATCCCATTCACTGATCTCGATGTTGACAACACTCGCAACATATATATCCAAATGCAGACGTTTTAATGCCCGGAAATGTCGTATTGAGTCCATAATCTGGTCACTATATGATTGATGGCTTGACCTCAGATAGAGTGACAACTTCTTGAGCGACAAACACTTTTCGCCGATTGCTTTGAATGACTCGTACAGTGAATAAGAGAGGACAATGAATCCGTAGTTATTGTGATCACGACTATTAAAAGTGATTTCCAATGCAAGTAATCCCGAAAAGCGATTCAATTGTCTCATGAAATGTAAGACATCTTCTTTAGGAAAGGGAGGAAAAGAGACGATAAGCCGTTTGAGTGACTGATTGGCGGCAATGAATGTGTCAAACAGTGTGGCATTGAATACATAATTCATATCAAACTTAAATGTCTGTAAATTCTTGACCAGTAATTGATTTTCCAAACCGAAGACATCGGTTAAGCGCTCGACAGTCAGATGACACAGATTTGGACAATAAGTGAGATATTGTTTGTCATCGAAGGAGAAGTGATCGAAATGAACGATCATTTGTCCAAACTTTTGAAACAGGAATTCCTTATTAGCCATTCCGTACATCATTGGCTTTAGTTCATTAAGTTCGGGACAATAGGCTCTGAACTGATCTATGGCTTCAATCACTTGTTTCATCTGATGACAAGCATAGGAGCAGTTAATGGTCTCAATGTTTGGACACTTTCTCATAATAATAGCCATACGATTGGTGTCGATGTACTCTTCGCCCGATTGGTTCCGTTCAGTCATTCTTTCCACGAGTTTGTCATCAATATTGAAATCTCTAACAGTATTGTAAACCAATCTCTGGAACTGTTTAGAGACTGATTGGTGACGGAATCGATCGGTGAATGTCTCGTAAGACAGCAATACTTCACACAAATCGTCACATATTCTGGTGTCGAAAGACCTCCTGTTGATAGCGTTGGACATCGTTTGCACTCTTATGTGAGAATATATGAGGAAATGAGTGACTCTTTGGTGAATTCAATTCAATTGAAGACAATATCGGTTTGAAATTCAAACTGAATTTAAAACTTTAAAACAACAATTCAATTAATATCTCACGAGTCATGAATGAATATAATTCTGTATTATTTAATAGCTTACACTTTCTGTAGTACAGAATATAGTTTCTATAAATACAACAGAATATTAATTACAATACTAAAGTACTACAGGTGCTACAGTACTGAATCAGTAGAATTGATCGGCAAAAATATAAAATAAAATTTATATTTTATAATTTTATAATTTACATAATCTTAAATAAGATACAAATAAAATATTTGAAACAATAAATACAGAATAAGTGAATTTATTTTCAAACAAATATATATACTCAAAAACTATATACAAAACTGTATACCCGAAAAACTAACTATATTTATCGTATTGAATTTATAACACCAAAGACGCCAGCGATGGGACGGCCGGCGCCTCCATTCCGGGCATTTGTATGCGTTGCCGCCAAAAGAAGTACACTTTGGCCGTGCATTCGGTGAAACTGTCGAGAGATGGACTGGTGGTCGACCCGCTCGAGAACCGCAACCAATCAGATGTCCAGCGAATGGGCAAAAGTCTGCGCCGAATGTCGGACCAGTGTTTCGTCGGCTCCACCATTGCTAACGTCTTACTAGACATCCTTAGAGCATATGGTAATTCGCCAGCCGTTAGTGGACGGGGAGTCAGTGGTGGAGGACAGGCAGGTGCGGGCACTGGCGGACAAGTTGTCGACTGGGGTCAGAGGAATGAACGCCAGGGTCTGATGGAGCGCATCGACTGACTGTTATCTCAGGTTAAACTGGTTTTTATGGCAGAGTCGCGTGTAGTGCGGGTGTCATCGCCGGTGTATGTCTTGGGCGACATCCACGGCAACCTCCACGACATTATGGTATACGAACGCTCGTTGTGGAAGATGGGACCGACATGTTTGGGCAAATCCTTCCTCTTTCTGGGCGATTATGTGGACAGAGGAGAGCACAGCGTTGAGTGCATTCTCTACCACTTGTGCCACAAAGTGATGTCACCCCAGAAGTATTGGCTCCTCCGCGGCAATCATGAGCTCCGATCAGTCAATCAGAGCTTCACTTTCAGGAATGAATGCCTCGAGAAGTTCGGCGAAAGTGTGGGACAGAAGTTGTGGAAGAAGTTCAACACAGTCTTCGATTTCGTGCCCATCTGTGCCGTCATCGATGAGTCGATATACTGCGCCCACGGAGGCATTCCCACCCCACCACCACCATCGACGAGCTCTACGCCATACCGGCCCCACTCAGGGATGCGGAGTACGAGTCGCCCATCGCGTGGCAAATTTTGTGGAGTGACCCGATCACCAGTCAGCAGTTCCGCGACTATCAGCAATCCATGCCTCCAGAGCCGTCCGCTTCCAGTCAGACCAGTGTCAGCAGCACTACCACCAGTCAGATGAGTGACACAAAGGCGTCCATTGTCACCGGCTTACTGCCCAACAC